AACGCGGACAGCTTGGGGATCACCTGCCAATTGGAGGAGTTTACTGAAGTTGTAAGGGTAAAATTCACTTAAGTAATGTGAAGTTAACATTTTAAAATTAAGGCACACAGGTATGCTCCTGGATAGAATATGGACAGAATGTTTAAAAACACACCCTGGGGTTGGGAAAATGGCTTTGTCAGTAAAGAAATTGTCATACAATCATGAAGACCTGAGTTCAATCCCCAGAACCAACATAAAAAGACAGACACATTACATTTACACATTGCATTTTTAATCCAAAACACTGGGGAGGCAAAAAAAAAAAAAGGTGATCCTTGGGCCCACTGATCAGCCACACTTGCCCCATAAGCAGGCCTCTGGTCAGTGAGAGACTGTCGTAACAGGAATGACTGTTAGGAATAGCACATAAAGTCTGGCTTCCACATAAGAATATGCACATGGGCACAAGCACACATCTGCACCCACACAAACATACTTTAGCACATACATGAGTACATACACACACACAAGCCAGATAGGCCATCTTGTGCACAATCCAGGAAGCCAACTCTGAAACCCAGATTTATAGGCAAATGACTCATTAAGGAAGGACAAAGAGAGGAAGACCATGGTACAGAATATTTCCCAGAGGGTACCTTCTACTTCCTAGAGAGTACCTTCAGCCTTATCACCCAGCATCCTGGGGTGCAGAGAGACAGAGAGCTGTTTAGAGAACTGTTTCCACTCAGGACCAGAGCTGGACACACCTGCCTCTCTATGTGGACAAGGCCAACGGCTAAGGTAGTGGACTTCTGGGCTCTTCCCGCCCTCCCTTCTGACAGGGCCAAAGGCTCCAGCATCCAAGGGCATTGTAGGTTAGAAGCAGACACAGGGGAGAGCAAGGGAAGGTGGCAAAACTTGGCTTGGTCTGTTTCCAAAGGACCAGCCCAAGAGCCATTTCCTCCTATCATTATGTCTGGTGTAATAGACATGGCAAGCCCATTGCCAGAAGATCCAGAGCTCTGTCTGAGATAGGCAGGGGCCATCTGTCCCATGGTCTTGTACAAGATCCTGCTCTTGGGCTGGGAGTGAATTTCAGTGGTAAAGCGTTTGTATTGCAAGGCCCTGGGTTCTAAATTTCTAGCACTGATTTAGAATTAGTTCTCAGTGGCCATCCTTTTCTTTCAAACCCCGGCAGACCACCAGAAACTAAAGCCATGGCATGGTTCTCCCAAGGCAGCTGGTACCCACCCAATCCACTTAAGGCTTCAGACACTCTCAGGGTCATGGCTGCTCCTTTCTTTCCCTGTAAGTCTGTCATCTGTATGAGGGAATAACCCCTGGCCAACTACAGAGAGACTTGTCAGGCTCAGGGCTCCTGACATCAGAATTCGGTTTAATTCCCAAGGAAGTGTGGCTAGTGACTTGTGCCCAAGTTCTCCTCCTATAAGATGTATAGGGTAGATTTAGTAACAGCCCTCCCAAGCATGATCAAATCCCCACACCTGGAGCCCAGAAATGCACAGTGAGTGGTGATAAATTCAGTAGCCATGTGGTGACAGCCACAGGCCCAGGGAAGCCATGCCCATTATATTCTGTAACAGAAGAATGCACTACCTCCTCCAGCCCAAGGCCTTGTGGTTTATTCTGAATGCACACCTTCCAGACTGTTAAGTGCCTGGCTAGGAGATTCTAGGCTAGTCACTGGACTGCTGTTTGACCTTAAGGGCAGATGCATTATTGTCCTGGTCCTAATTTACCAGCTCCCTATTGGACCAACCCCTTGAGAACAGCTTCACAGTCCCAGGCCTGCTAAAAAATGAGTTCCTAGTGCTGTTGCTTCCAGAATTCCTGAGCCTAGCTTGGTTGATGGGGTCCATGATGTATTCCTAATGGATTTTTACATTCCAAATTTCAAGGGAATTGCATTCACTCATTTTTGCAGGGCTGGAGACTGAACTCAGGGCAAGGCAACACTACAGTTGAGCTATACCCCCAGTTCTGTAGACTTTATTTTGAGACAGTCTCTTTGTAGACCAGGCTGGTCTTGAACTTTTAATCCTGCTGCTTTAGTCTTTCTCTACTGCCTGCAGTCAGGCTCTGTTTCCAGTGTAATTTAAACCTTCAAGTTCCTTGGCAGTGAACTTAAGAAGATCAAGTTCAGTCCCTCAGCAGCCTGAGCCCCAGGACAGACATCCATGCTATTGTTTTAGTATGGTGGGGAGTGGAGGAGTCAGATGTCCACCTCAGCTATGTGTATCTGTTCCCTGACACCTTTTCTTGTGGTGTCAAAGATGAGTGGATAACTGGAGAGTCTTAGAGGGGTTCATCCCTGCTGGGGAACCCTGACCGGTTCAGGCAGATGACACACATCACCAAGTCTCAATTGTTCCTTTTGCTCTGCTCCAGGGATGTAGCTCACGTTTTAGTTTGCATTTCGGTCACTGTGATAAACACCACTACCAAAAACAGCTTAGTGGAAAAAAGGATTTATTTCGTCTAACAGGTTACAGTCCATCAAGGGAAGCCCCGGCAGGATCCTGATTCACGAACCAGGCTCATCATCTGAGGGACGGTGCTGCCCACAGTGGGCTAGTCCTCCCACATCAATCGTTAATCAAGACACTTTTATACAGACATGGCCACAGGCCAATCTGATGGAGGCAATTCTTCAAGCAAGGTTCCCTCTTCCTAGGTGACTCAAGGTTGTGTCAAATTGGCAATGAAAACTAACCAGGATAGCTCACTCCCATGATGCTATGCACACTGGCTTTTCCTACCCCGTCATTTCCTGCCACAACTTGATGAAGAACCCTAGCAGAGGCAAAGTTTTGGGTTCTTGCAATATGGACCCGACCAAAGGAGTTCCAAGGTGGCCTATAGAAGAAAGTGGGGTGTGAGGTGAAGAAGTGGGATATAGGGAGTCAATACTTCCTCAAAAGCTACCTCTTTTGCTCCTCAGCTGTATAGCTTTGGGTAAGCCACTTAACCTCTCTGAGCTGTTTGCCATCTTTTCACGCAGATCACAGTGCTGATATAATTTGGAGGCTTCTTCCCAGGACACCCAAGTAGTCCTTTTGTGACTGAAGCCAGCCAGTGCTGTGGTTGCTGCTGTTGGCTGTGTGGAGAGTGTCTGGCAGTAAGACAATGGGGGAGCAGCCATCTGCAGAGGGAGAGACATCTGGCTAAGACATAGGGGCAGCATGGCTGTTGTTAGATTAATGTCTCAGTGGGGTGGAAGCCATGTGTCTGTCTGCACCCCCGAAGTGGCAGTGTTGAATCTGAAGTTTTGCTATTCTGCATTGGCAAGTAATAAACAGAACTGGAGCAGGGCCCAGACCAGTTTGACACTCCACAACGCCATTGTTCGAGGTGGCTTTGGGGGATGACATTATTTCTACTTCGTCCCTCTCTGGCTTACATTTCCAACTCCATTTTTCTGGTCTCAGGGCCAGAAGGCCGGTAGTAACCCCATCTACCTCACGGGAACCTAACACCACACAATGAGCGCACAATTTATTACTACAATTATGAAGCGGCAGGTCTCCGTCCCCAAATTTGGTGACTCCTTCCTCACAGTGTCCCTGTAGACCCCACACTGATATCGTCCCCTCCAGGCCTCAGTTTCCCCTTCTGCGCCCAGGGCAGGCTCACTTAGGGAGATGCAGCGCAGCAGATCTGAGATTTCAGCCCTTTTATCCTGGGAATCTGTTCTGCGGACCGCCAAAGTCGGGGGCGGGGCGAAGCCTCCGGCCTCTCTACGATTGGTGAATCTCGCAGAAGCTCCGCCCCCGGAGCCTGCCCCTTGCCGTCTCGGGCGGGCTGCGGGCATTATGCAAAGCAGCCGCGCCCCGCCTCGCGCGCGGATTGGAGGCCTTTGTCTGCCGCTCAATTCCAGGAAACCAGGGCGCGCGGTAGCAGCTGCAGGTGAGACCCAGAGGGGAGAGCGAGAGGAGGAGCTAGGCCTTCGGGGACTCAGTTTCCCCTTCGGGAGAATGGGGACGGGAGCGGACATCGCTGCAGGACTGTGTCTTGCTGGGCCCGCGAAGCTTGGGATCTCCACGTGGGAGCTCCACGCGCGCGCGAGGGGACGGATCGTAGCTCCGGGAGTCCGGAGCGTGAGATCACAGACTCAGCCGCACCCCAGGGACGGCGGGACAGCAGGATGCCCTGGTCCCTCCCCCTCGGCCTCAGTCTCCACCTCCGCATAGTGGGGGCGTGGGCTTCTGTCCTCCAGCCCAGGCACCTCGCCTACCGGGCAGGGGTCCCGGGGGACCGGGGGTGGTCCTTGGCGGGGCTGCAGGCGGTGTTTGGGCAGGAGGTGTGGCCCTGTTGCTTTGGTGACCAGGGAGGTGGGGCGCTGCTGCTCTGAGATTTGTGTGAGACTGGGTCACCAGGCAACAACTCTGCGGCCAGACAGCCTGGGAGCCTCGCACTTTCCCTGGATGCCTAACGCAAGTTTGTTTTTTTTTTTCTCTCTCTCTCTCTCTTTATTTTGTTGGGCAGAGTTGGGTGGGCTGTCTACATAGTGGGAGGAACCGGGAGGAGCTGTCAAAATGGGGTCAGTCCCCTCTTAATACACAAGAGGCGACTGTGGCACCGAGAGGTGGCGCGGCTTACTCAAAGGTGCACAGCAGGGAGGTGC